AAGGATCGGTGATAGGGGCCGCTAAAAATATTTATCCTAGCCTCTCAGCGGTATAGTTCATATTCCTAGTTTTAGATACAAGAGTTGTACATTTATACAAATAGCATGATCACACTCAGTAGATTATAAACTTTGTAATGATACCTAACAAGAGACCTTTTGCATGAAGCATATTCCAGTTACATTATATTCACTTATCATATTTTTATAAAACCATATAGACTGCACAACTTCACATCATGTCCTCTGTGGATTAGCACAGAGGGGACCCATAACACAGCCCAGTGAGTTGCACTAAGATAGGGGAGGCCAACCTGAGCCTGAGAAGGAGCCAGAATTTACCAATGTACATTGCCAAAGAGCCACAGTAATACATCAGCAGCCCCCCATCAGCACCCCCCACACACACACACACCCTGCTCCCAGCACCTCCTGCCCACCGGCAGCCGTGCCAATCAGCGCCTCCCCCTCCCTTCCCACACCTCCGATCAGCTGTTTCGTGGCGTGCAGGAGGCTCTGGGGGTGGAGGGGAGGAGTGAGGGCATGGCAGGCTCAGGGGATGGGGCGGGAAGGGGTGGAGAGGGGGCAGGGCCTGTGGCAGAGCAGTGAGCACCCCCCGGCACATTGGAAAGTTGGCGCCAGTAGCTACAGCCCCGGAGTCGGTGCCTGTACAAGGAGCCGCATATTAACTTCTGAAGAGCCGCATGTGACTCCGGAGCCCCAGATCGGCCGCCCCTGCACTAAGACATCTGCAGCTCAGTGGAAGCCGTAGTCCTGGTCAGGGGGAGTCTAAATGACAGTGATAAGCCCTGGCTGCCGTCTACACTCGTGCTCCCCCTCAGGAAGATGCACCAATGGGAAATGTATTAGACCATAAAACACTAGTGTAGGCAAGGCCAGGGAAATGGAAACAAACCCATAGGAAGTCAGTGGACGTGGGGTTTTAGTTCCCTTCGCTGCAGCTGAGCGCTGCCTAAAAATAAGCAGTGGTCGCACTGTGTCATAGGAAGAGGAAGTGCAGAAAATGTGGTGTGCAGAAAATCTGGCAACTTCTGGCCCTTGCTGCATGCCAACTACTGCGATGGGATTTCAGGGGGATGTGGTGGGAAGTTGCTGATGACAACGCTCCTTGCAGGTTGTGCTGCCTGGGTAAAGAGAGAGTTTGGTCACGGCCCTTCCAGGCCGGCCTAGCTGTGGTTGTGAGCTACAAGGGGGGCCCATGGAAAGAAGGGATTAGGCCATGCTGGAGCACATGCGGCACCAGTTCCGAAGTAAAATTCAGCGTGCTGGCCCATGCAATGATGGCAAGTCCATGCTGGAAAATACTGCCGCTGCTGCAGGACTTCACTCTGTGCACAGCAGCCCATGTGCTTCTGGTCCACAGGAGGCTTGGTACATGGCACAAGGATGGGCTTAGGAAGACGGCAAGGTCCTAGATCTTAACCGGTTTGCTTTTGTTTTGAACAGGTAACTGAAGTACCACCAAGTGCCTGTAGAGGGAGATAGAGGCCTGAGGAAAACGAACTCCCACTTGAACAATTACCGTGCAGGCAACGACTGACAGGGTCTTTATGGAAATCTCCCTCCATGGAATTCAGATACCAGCTGCCTTAGCGCTTCTTTCAAGATTTCCAGGAATGTGCTACCGGGTCACACCCCAACTTCCAGTCTCATCCCCATGCCCCTCCCACAGAAGTTTACAAATTATTCCTGGGTTCTGATTTTCTGTTTTACTAAGAGGATTTCTCACCGTGCGGCTGGGGTGGGGGGAAATCCCCAACGTTCTGAAGACTCCAGGAGCTTCTGAATGGAAGCGCCTTGGATGTGGGATCGATTTATCGTCTGTTTCATGAGGCCTTCAAGGGGGCTCCTGCTCTTCTATGCTTCAGATGGTGGATGGGGGCCGATAACTTGGCAAAGTCTTTCTTTGTTCTCCTTGGGGTGGGGATGTGTCTTGGATGTTTTGCTCCTTTTCCAGGGCCACAGCAGCTCGTCTTCCTTCTGGATTTCGGATGTGAATGAGCTTGGGTGGCCGCTTGACGGAATCATGGCTCTGTGGACAGTTTGGTACTGAGGGTAGGTAAGTGGGTGAGCATATCAACCCAGCCATCCAGCGAGAGCAGCCCCTGAAGGGGACAGCATGGACATATGGACACATTTTGCTGCACAAATCCTAAATCCAGGTTTTCCTTCTTCCAAGGCACAGTCTGTTTTTATTAATGCGCCCCTTCTCCCACCCGTGGTTTTTAAAATCACAGCTTGGGCTTTAGGAGATGCCATCCCTTTTAGAACACACCCTGTTTACAGCGCCTCAACTTTCCTTTCCTGATGCACTTCTGAAACCCTTCATCTTTTTAACAAAGTCCTCACCGGATTCCTGTCTCTGTGTATGGACAGTGGTCTCCTTCCGGTGCCTTTTTTTTTTTTTAATGGAGATGTTGTTATTCAGTGTGTGATCAAGGCACAGATTGGTCTGCCAATATCTCTCCAGGCTGGGTGGGGGGAGAAGAGAAATTCTGTGACAATGTTTTTACAAGTTCCCAGTGTGTCTGTAATTTAACAAATGATTGTCTAAGGCATGTCCAGGGTGACTGAGCACAAATCATCCATGCCAATTGTAGATGTTGCTCTTCCCGATTGTTTTTACTCGGATATTGACCTCTCACCAGCATGGGGTGCAACCTGCTGAGCTGTTTGTGTGTGTGTGGGTTGGTTGATTTCACTTGGAATGTCCACCACCTTCTTGGTATAAAATTAAAGGACTGTGTGAAATGAGCGGGTAGGTCTCTGTTGGGTTCCCAGCACACACGTGCATAACTACCACCACTGCCAGCACCTTCTGATGCTGGTCTCAGCAGAAAGCGCCAGGACTGAACTGGGAGATGGAAGATTGTGCCTTCCCTATACCTGGTCAGCACCGAGACACGGTGCGGGTGAGGTAGATTCCAGGGCTTCCTGGAACCTGTCTGAGCAGGGGAAATAGATGGCATAATGATCAATGCCACCTCACCCTTGCTGTGGACTAGGACTGTCAAGGCACATTTTCAGAGGTGCCTGGGTACAACTTTCAAAGGTGCCTAAGTCACTTGTAGTTGTTAAAAATCTGCTGGGTGGTCATGGCTGAGCACTTGTGTTCCGCCTACTGCAGAATTTACCAATGTGGATGTTAACCCATGTTTGCAAGGGTCGGGCAGGCGTTGGTCGATTGGGGTTCATCTTCATTGAAGGTGCGGATATTATAGGCAGCACCACCTGTTATCCAGGGTGCACAGCACTTCCCATTATAAATGTCTGGTTTTGGTGGCTTTATAATTTTGCCACGTTTTTAACCATTGGGGCTGAAATTTTCCATGCCATGTGTCTGCCTCGGGTTGGTTTGTGAGTTTCAGTCAACAGGATTTAGCCATTGCCAAGAACAAGGTTGGGGAACAAAGACGTTGATCAACATGTTTTTAAAAAAAAAAAAAATCTGGTCCCCTTTCTCCTGAGATGTTCCAGTGTCCCCGTGTTTTGCAGAAGAGATTTGAAATGCAGTGTAGGGGCGGCCATGGGGCCAGCAATGTGCTTTTCGGCCAAGTTCTGAGCCTTTGAAAATCTCAGCTCATGCGTGGGGAGACTTCTTACAAATTAACCAGCAAAATCACTGCAGATTTCACCCTCACTGAGCCTCACAGCTCCTTGCGCTGACCAGCCTGGGTGTGCTCCAGCCCTGCCTACAGGAGCCATCCTGAACTTCCCCTGTTCACACTGCCTAGCCAGGAGGAGACAAGAGCTGGATGGGGAGGAGGGGAGAGGAAGGAGTAGAAGAAGACAAGGAGCTGGGTGGGAAGGGGAGACTGGAAGTTGTGGAGAGGAAAGGGAAGAAGGAAACGGGAGTGGGGCAGGGAGGAAGACTGGGAATTGTTGAGTAATAAGACTAGGTCTGGCATCCAGGAAAGGATGAGAGTTGGGGGACCAGGTAAATGAGATCGTACAAGGAGCCAGGGACTGATGGAGCAAGGAGACCAGGACTGGGAACCAGAAGTGGGGGACGGATCTGACGAGGAGGTGGGGGAAGCAGGGATGGAGCTTGGACAAGGAGCCAGGGAGGGGGTGAGGTGAGCTGACTGGGATTGGACGAGGAGCACAGAGAATGCCAGGTGCAATGGGGGCAGGGCAGGGATGATCAGAAGCCAGGGTGGGGGTGAGAAACAGACTGTGCAAGGAGCTGGGAAGAAGGGTCAGCGACTGGGCCTGGTAGGAGTTTGGGGGAGAATGGGACTTGGAAGGAGAGCGTAGGATTGGCTGTGCAACCTTAATTCTGCCCCCTTGTGTGTCTGCATCCTGGTAGTCGTTCATTACACGATCACGTACTGTTTCTTCCACGGGGCCCCTGCCTCGTTCAGCACCCAGGCTGGACAGCACTCTGGGGACGTCTGTAAAACCCTGCCTCGTTTGTCGCCAAAGTTGAAAGCTGTGTAGGGGCGTTTACTTGAGTGGCCAAGTCTAAGAGGGCAAAGCATTAGCTTTTGCTTGGAAGAAGTCAGAGGAGAGCTCAAAAGGCAGGCTGCCCAGGTGGTGCCTTGGCAGCTGAGTGGTGCCTGGAGCCAGGGGACTGCAGGAAGAGAAAGGAGGCTCACGGTGAAGGCTGCTGGGTACTGCACTGAAGAACTGGATTCGGTCTCTGCCCCAGAATTGCTGTGTGATGCTGGGCAAGATGCTTAAACCGAACTTCTCCCGGGTGGTCGCTGGTGGTGTGATCCTCGTTCTCTGGTGCCCGACTGGAGACCCTGGGCTCTCCTTTGCAGCAGGGCCGAGCACTCACAGCCGCAGCTGAAGCCGTGGGAGCCGTGCTTTGAATATAGAAAGGACTAGATAACAGTAAATACTCTGAAAAATCAGGTCCTCGGTGCCTCAAATTGGGCACCCGAAACGAGTGGATGATTTTGACCTTAATCTACGTCCCTGCCCCCCATCTGTAAAATGGGGATCATACCACCCCTCACAGGGGTGTTGTGGTCCCTGAGCGCGTCACAAAACCGAATTACTTCCACGTCAATGAGCGCCGTAGAGAGGCCCCTGAGGGAATTAATAAATGGTTTGAATCGTGTGCAGTAAATAAAGCCTGGAGTCACGCACACAACGATGAGGCTAATACAAAATATCTAATAGCTGCTTATTACGCGAGCACCGTCCATGCTCCTGCCCCTTTAAGATGCCTGCAGGACCAAACTCCATGGACTAGCCCTGTGTCCAGGTAAAGCAAAGGCAGAATGGTGGTGTGGCAGGTTTAAATTGTCTGGAGGGTGCAAGTTTATATAAGGCTTTGTAAACATATCATACTCCTCGTCCTGCCTCAGAGAGCTTACAACTGCTGGATGAATCAAGGAAGTGATAGGATTTCAAATATATTCCACCCCCACCTGCTCGGATCATCCTTCCAGCCAAGGAGACCTGGCTGGGCAGCATCTCTCTAAACCAATGCCATTTTTAATTGCCTGTAGAGGTCACTCTTGAGAGATACACGGCTCTCCTTTCTCGGCGGGAGCGGGAGCGCTTGGCATCTAACCTGCTGTATTTAATTCCATGTGACATCTGCTCCTACATAACCACAGCATAAACCCTCGCTGTCTTCTGAGCACCTGAGATGTGGAAAAGGAATGCCAGGCTGGGCCAAATCAGCATTTGTCTCTAGGAGCAGGAAAATGAACCCACCCACCACGGTCCAAGCAGTCAGAAAACGCACCTTGGGCAAAAAGGGGCTTGTGCAGAACCAAGGGCAGAAGGAGCTTTAATTTCCATTCCTTTTCTGTGTTGTTTTGCATTTTGTAGCATCCTCATTTTGCTGGCTCGTGCAGGCATGCGGGCGGAGAAGGGACCAGCGCCTTCGCAGACCTGCACACCCAGGACCGGGGCAAGTTCGCAGGGC